ATCCCTGCACCCTCGCATCCCTGTATCCTTGCATCCCTGCATCCTCCCATCCCTGCATCCTCACATTCCTCGCATCCCTGCATCCTTGCATCTCTGCATCCCTGAATCCCTGCATCCTCACATCCCTGTATCCTTGCATCCCTGTATCTTGCATCCCCACATCCCTACATCCCTGTATCCTCCCATCCTGCATCCTTGCATCTCTGCATCCCTGAATCCCTGCATCTTCGCATCCCTGTATCTTGCATCTCCACATCCCTGCATCCCTGCATCCTTGCATCTCTGCATCCCTGAATCCCTGCATCCCTGTATCCTTGCATCCCTGCATCCTGGATCATCCCACCCCTGCATCCTCACATCCCTGCATCCCTGCATCCCTGCACCCTCGCATCCCTGTATCCTTGCATCCCTGCATCCTGCATCCCCACATCCCTGCATCCTCACATCCCCACATCCCTGCATCCTTGCATCTCTGCATGCCTGAATCCCTGCATCCTCACATCCCTGTATCCTTGCATCCCTGCATCCTGGATCATCCCACCCCTGCATCCTCACATCCCTGCATCCCTGCATCCCTGCACCCTCGCATCCCTGTATCCTTGCATCTCTGCATCCTGCATCCTCCCACCCCTGCATCCTCGCATCCCTGCGTCCCTGTATCCTTGCATCCTTGCATCTTGCATCCCCACATCCCTGCATCCCCGCATCCTTGCATCTCTGAATCCCTGCATCCCACAGCCCCAGTGGCATCGCTCCTGGGGCAGGGACATGCAGGGGACATCCCGGGCCACAGCGTGGGAACAGGGCTGGAGGAAGTGCAAAAAAAACCATTAAAAAAAGAAGAGAAAGCGGGGAAAAGGAAGCACCTGAGCACAACGCTCCCTGCACGTGCCCTGAGACATAACCGCACGCTTCCCCTTGCAACCCAGCACCCGGTTCCCCATCCCCGGGGGGTACCGTCCCCACCGTGACACCCCCTTGGGATGCTCCCTCTGAAACCCTGAGGACACAGGGATGGCTTTTTAACTACTGAATGGAGGAAATGTTAATATTTTCGGTATTTCTGGAGGTAGAAGCTCTTTGGGGAGCAGCTGCTTCTGCAGAGCAACCAAAGCTGTAGCAAAGGCTGAAGCAGAGTATTTTTGGGACTGGGAGGGGGGGGATTGCTGGTTTTTGTTGACCAAACCCAAAATAACTGGTTACTGGTTGAACACAAAACACTGGTCCAGCACCGTGCGGTGCAGCCCAGCATTGCTCAGGTGTGCAGGGATGGTCCTGGCTTCCCCGGTGCAGTTGGAGATGGGGATGCTCTGGTTGTCCCCCTGCTTTGGGCAGCCCTTGCAACCTGCATGGGAAAGGGATGGGGGCTCGAAGATGCTGTGAGGTACTCGGCAAAGGATGTGGGTTGATGCTAAATCCTCCTCCAGCTGCTGCTGTGATGGAAAGTAGAGAAAGAAATGAAAAAAGAAAGTGAAAATCGTTGAATCATTTGGTTGGGAAAGAGCTTGAAGATCATCGAGTCCAACTGTAACCTGTCCACCACTGAACCATGGCTCTGAGGGCCTCGAGTGGTGCCAGGGGAGGGTGAGGTTGGATCTGAGGGGAAATTTCTTCCCCCAAGGGTTCTCAGGGCCTGGCAGGGGCTGCCCAGGGCAGTGGTGGAGTCCCCATCCCTGCAGGGGTTCAATGTGGCCCTTGGGGCCATGGTTTAGTGGCCATGGTGGGGTTGGGTTGAGGTTGGACTGGATGATCTGAGAGGTCTCTTCCAACCTTAATGATTTGATGATTCAATGCTTTTCCCATCTGTTAAATCCCTGGACCTCCCCATATTGCGTTTGAATTTTAATTTTAATTTCTATTTCTATTTCTATCCTTTAATTTCTCTACCAAAAACCATGCAGTTGGGAGCAGCTCTTTGCAAACCCTAATTTGTCCCCTACCTCCGCTGTTTTGCTCGCTCAGACCCTGTGCAAAGCTCCACAATTTCCTGGGAATTTCCAATGACCATGACAAATACGTGTCCTTTGAGTCAGGTACTTGAGCTGAGTTTGCCCGGTCTCAGCCTCACTGTGTGTCAAAAGAGGTGGAGAAGACCCTGTGCCAGCCCTGCCCACTTCACAACCCAAAATCCACCTAAAAAGGCAACGTTTGGGTCCGTTTGGATCAATTTGGGTCATGCAAGCCCCACATAACCCATTAAACTCTCTTGTCTCAGCGAAATTACAGCTCAACTCACTTCCCTTATGACTCAAATGACATTTCTCTGAGCTGGCTTCTGGGTTTTATCCCCTCGCAAAATAAAAGGATAGATCGATATAAATCACTGTCGCCCTTCCCGGTGAGTAGGAACCCGACTTGTTCACCCCTTTTTGCTTTTTTATTGGTTTTATGCAATGCTACCGGTGAAATTCGGCTGGGTTGGGTGGGGGCTGATGTTGTTGAGCCCCAGCTGTGAGTGTCTGTGCTGGGAAGGTGCAGCCCTAAGCCTTCACCCCAGTTTCATGGTGGGGGGAAATGGTGGGTGCTGGGGACACGGAGATGCTGGTCTGGAGGCAATGGGGACACTGAAATGCTGGTCTGGAGGTGACAAGGACGCAAAGGGATTGATCTGGGGGTGACAAGGACGCAGTGGTGCTTCTCTGAAGGTGATGGGGACACAGAGGTGTATCTCTGGATGTGATGGAGACATGGACGTCTTGATTTGGAGGTGACAAGGACACGGAGATGTTGCTCTGGAGGTGATGGGACACAGAGGGGTTGTTGTGGAGGTGTTGGTCCAGAGGTGATGGGACATGGAGGTGCTGGTCTGGAGGTGACAAGGACATGGAAGTGTTGTTCTTGAGGTGATGGGACACAGAGGTGCTTCTCTGGAGATGACGGAGACATGGAGGTCTTGACTTGGAGGTGACAAGGACACAGAGGGGTTGTTCTGGAGATGATGGGACACGAGGATGTTGGTCTGGAGGTGTTGGGACATGGAGGTGCTGGTCTGGAGGTGACAAGGACACAAAGGGGTTGACCTGGGGGTGACAAGGACACAGAGGTGCTTTTCTGGAGGTGATGGGGACACAGAGATGTTGGTCTGGATGCGATGGAGACATGGAGGGGCTGGTCTGGAGGTGACAAGGACACAAAGGTGCTTCTCTGGAGCTGATGGGGACACAGAGGTGTTGCTCTGGAGGTGACGGTACCCACGTATTGTCCTGCAGGTGACAGGGACACAAGGCTTTGCACTCATCCATCTCTATCCCTTCCCTTCCCCACCCACCTCAGGTGTCCCTGCTGTCCCCATCCAACCCCTGCATCCCCCATCCCTGTCTCCTCACCCTCTTCCCACCCTGCAGGGTGACTCCCCTGTCCCTGATGTCCCCCCTGTCCCTGATGTTCGCTCCGTGCCACCGTGATCTCTGTCCCACAGGGAAGGGATGCTCAGCTCCTAGCACCCCGGGCGTGCTGAGGATGTCGGCCATCCCCGAGGCGCTGGGCCGCCCACGGAGCAGCTCGTCCCGCAGCCTGGCGGGGACCCTGGAGGCCACCTTGGGCATGGGGACGTTGGAGATGATGGAGAAGGAGGAGATGCGCATCCTCAAGGTCTGCTTCTACAGCAACAGCTTCAACATGGGCAAGAACTTCAAGCTGGTCAAGTGCTCCGTCACGACAGAGATCCGGGTACGTGGGGCAGGGGAGGCTGTTTGATCCACCCAGCATCAGAGGTGGCTCTCTTCCAGACTCCCTTTCCCATGGCGTGGTAGCTGTCACGACGGAGATCCGGGTACGTGGGGCAGGGGGAGCTGTTTGGTCCACCCAGCATCAGAGGTGGCTCCCTTCCAGACTCCCTTTCCCATGGCGTGGTAGCACCCAGAGCCCCATGGCTCAGAAGCTCCAAAACGTGGAGAAAAGGGAGAAAATTTGGCCTTTCCCCCATCCCCATTGACCTACACGGACACAAGTGGTGATGGGGACAGTGATCCCACAGCCCCTTGGTGTTTTCCCATGGCCACATCATGGTGTGGGCAGACAATGAAGGTGATCTTGGTGGCTTTCCATCATGGATGAGGTGGTTTTGGGCTGGAAATGTGCTCCTCACCCTTCCTACCTGGATTTTCATGGCTTCTCAGATGGGTGACGGTGTCTGGGTGCTGGGGACCTGGTGGCCAGCACCGGCTCTGCCCTTGGGTGTTGCAGGGTTGGTGTCCACCACGAGATACATGGGTGCAATGGTTGATGCTGTGCCTTCTTCTGGGGCGAGTCCTCAGGACAGAGCATTGCAACGAAATCATGAGGAGGTGACCAAAGTGTAGCTCAACTGGTGGGACATAGAGCAGGGGGCAGGGCTGTCCCCTCCCCGTCATCTCCGGGAGGAGGTCATGCCATGGCTGAAGGTTTCAGAGGAGCAGGAAAGGACTCATCAGGCTGGGAAGGGGATGCCTGAGTGGGGGAAATTCAAGAGAAACCATGAAATGGCAATGGTTTGGCTGTCCCCGGCACAGGGATGGGAGCAGAGCCCCATCTCCTTGGGGACAGCTTGGCCACCGGTTGTGTTAAAAACCACCTGAGGTGTCAGGAAGGGTGGAAATGACCCAACTGGGGCTTTTATCCCCAACCAAAACACCTCTGGCAGGTTGGATGGCACACATGCAGACCATAGGTTGTTGCAGAGCGAGCTGGAGGCATCTTTGGAGGCTTCACATGGAGACCACAGGGGCTGGTGGCTGTGTCCAGGACAATGTCCTTGCTCCAGGGACATTTCTGTTGCAGTTGTGCCATGTTGCCTCCTCGTTTTCTCCTTATTCGGAGCCCAAATGAGGATGCTCAGGTCTCACCCCTGCTCCTTCCCACCCCAGGAGGTGATCAGGTCCATCCTGGTGAGCGGCCGCATCGGGCCGGACATCCAGCTGGCTGAGTGCTATGGGCTGCGCCTGAAGCATGTCAAGTCGGACGAGATCCACTGGCTGCATCCAGACCTGACGGTGGGCGAGGTGCAGGAGAAGTACGAGTGCCTGCACCTGGAGGCCGAGTGGAGGTAGGACCCCATAGTGGTGTCCCTGTGGTGGTGGTCGTGACACTCTCCATGTCCCCAGGGCAAGGATGTGGGGACAACCGAGCCCTGAGCTCCTCCAGGGTGGTCCTCATGGAGGGGCTCTGCCTTTGCCAGGTATGATCTCCAGATCCGTTATCTGCCCGAGGATTTCATCGAGCGCTTCAAGGAGGACAAGACCACCTTGCTCTACTTCTATCAGCAGGTCAGGGGTGGCCCCGGGGGTCTCCTAACCCCACCAGGTCTGTTCTGCAGCCCCCCGACCATCCCTTCCCAGATCCAGGAGGGCATTTCCTCCTCTCCAGCCCCAAAACTGTGATTTCTGAGAGCCCCAAGAACTTGCGGCCTGTTTAGTGTCACCCTGGGTTGCTGGATCCCCAACCCCAGCCCCCATGGGCCCATCACGCTGCTGGGTTGGTGCATCCTCACCGGGGACAGCTGGGGTCAACCTCCTACACTGCTCACCCTGGGGGGAGAGCATGGACCTGAGCATCCCCTGCCAGCATCCCATGAGCATCCCATGAGCATCCCCTACCAACATCCCCTGCGAGCATCCCCTGTGAGCATCCCCTGTCACCATCCTCTGCAAGCATTGCCTGTGAGCATCCCATGAGCATCCCATGAGCATCCCCTACCAACATCCCCTGCGAGCATCCCCTGTGAGCATCCCCTGTCACCATCCTCTGCAAGCATTGCCTGTGAGCATCCCATGAGCATCCCCTGCAACCATCCCCTATGAGCATCCCATAAGAATCCCCTACGAACATCCTCTGCAAGCATCCCATGAGCATCCCCTGCCAGCATCCCCTACAAGCATCCCCTGTGAGCATCCCATGAGCATCCCCTGCAACCATCCCTTCTGAGCATCCCCTGTGAGCATCTCCCATGAACAGCCCTTGTGAGATCCCCTGTGAGCATCCCCTGAGCATCCCCTGAGCATCCCCTGTAACTGGTTTCTTGCAACCGTTCTTTGCAACCATTCCCTGCAACCATCCCCTGTATCCTCTGCAATCATCCCCTGCAAGCATCCCATGACATTCCCTGCAAGCATCCCTATGAGCAACCCATGAGCATCCTCTGCAAACATCCCCTGCCAGCATCCCCTACGAGCATCCGCTGTGAGCATCCCACAAGCATCCCCTGCAACTATTCCCTGCCAGCATCTCCTGCAACCATCCCTTGCGAGCATCCCCTGCAAGCATCCCATGAGCATCCCCTGCAACTGTTTCTTGCAACCATCCCCTGCCACCATCCCCTGCAAAATCTCCTGTGAGCATCCCCTGCAACCATCCCCTGTATCCCCTGCAATCATCCCCTGCAAGCATCCCCTTCGAGCATCCCCTTCGAGCATCCCATGAGGTTCCCTGCAAGCATCCCCTTTGAGCATCCCATGACCATCCCCTCCGATCATCCCCTCTGACCCCACATCTCCCCGCAGCTCCGCAGCGAGTACATGCAGAACTACGCCAGCAAGGTGAGCGAAGGCATGGCCCTGCAGCTGGGCTGCCTGGAGCTCAGGTGGGTGCCTCTGCCACAGCAGGAGGGCTGGGGGGGAGGTGGGAGAGGGGTCTGGGGCCATGGTGGGGATTGTGGGGGGACGTGATGGTGGGATATGAGGACATGGTGGCTCTCTGACGTCCCTCCCTTCTCGCAGGAGGTTTTATAAGGACATGCCTCAAAACGCGCTGGATAAGAAATCCAATTTCGAGTTCCTGGAGTGAGTAGGCACAGCCTGACCCTCCCTGGGCAGAAACCCCCTTACCCCTGAGCCCCTCTAACTCTGTCCCGAGGGGCTGGGGCACTGCAGATGGCCTTCTTCATCCCCCTGCACCTCCTCATCCCCTGCACCTCCTCATCCCCCTGCACCTCCTCATCCCCCTGCACCTCCTCATCCCCTCCACCTCCTCATCCCCCCAAACCCCCCCAC